TCTTTCTATTTAGAAATTATGATTTGCGTGAGAGAATCTACAGGTGGTACAGGCACCTGATAATGATTTCTCTTTGGCTTACGTGGAATAAGACAAAAAGTGCGCTTGCACACACACACACACACACGAAGAGAGACTTAGGCATTTATATGTGAAAACAATGCAACGAATAACAAAATTGTACTAGCGCACACAAAACAAGAACACGTACACGTTTAAAACAAAGAGCTATTCATATAATATACATTAAAAGTCACAAATAAACCGGTCGCATGACTAGCATTTGGTCGTTTACGACAAGAACCGTTTTTTTCCTCTCCCGAATGGATTTTTGCATTGGTTTCAAGCGGAATGAGTGTTTTTCTTTTGTAAATAAATAGTCAATTCGAACGCGATAGGTATGCGCGTTTTCGTCGCACAAAGCGCATATACACATAACAATTGACTGCTGCAACTCTAGACTCGCTCAGTATCGATCTATCGGTGTGCTCTGTGTACCTTTTTTTGTTTATCTCTACTTTGATGAAATGGCAATAATAATGCGCTGCTTATAGATGATATAGGAGTTGACGGAGTGGAAACGAAAACAGCTCGCTGTGTATATTGTACCTTGAGAAAGCTAGCAACTTTGTATATACAGTTTTTTTTTAGATCGCAGTGCAATTGGAATTTTTTTTATTCCTTTTGCTTCATTTCACCGTCTTTTCTGTTAATAAAATAATGTTGCATTTGTGCGATTGAGATCGCGCTTTGACTTTTCTGTCGATGTCATGGAATGAACTCTTTTTAACCTGTTGATCATAAAAGGCCAATTTTTGCTTTGTTTTTTTTTTCTTGAATCAACGTCGAACATACTATTTTTTTCTCAGAACGATTACGAAGTTTTATCTTTTTGCTTCTTTTTTTACTCTCTCTCTCTTGATCTCTTTTTCTCTCTTTCTTTCTCTCTTGCTCACATTTCCATCGAATATGCTCTTCTCAACACATTCCACTCATTACGAGTAAATAACATAAAAAACCTTTTAAAATTAATAAACGATTTTCTGTTGCTCAAATGAAATCGTCAAATTACACACGCGTTTGACCATTTTGTTTCAGTATCGCCATTATTTTTTGCGTTTTTTTTTGTTCAATGACTCGCATTTGTGTGCCATCCATATAATGATAATTTTTTTCTCATCTCCAGTCGTTCGTTACTGTTGTTTTTTCTTTGTCTTCGTTTGTCTTCATTCTCTCGATCAATCTTAATTGCCAAAATTGATATCAACATACGAACAAAAAGCTAATGATATGGTGCTGAATTGAAATTTCGCTGTGACCAGATAATATTCTTCTGATTGGAGAGGGAGAGATATCAAGTGAATTTCTTCTCTCTTTTTTTGTTGATTTCCATTTCTATTTTGATCAACAATCGATTGAATTGTGTGCCGTCATCAATGCCACATTACCGTTAGAGCTATTCGTATGTGCAGAAAAAAAGACGATCACACAGTCAAAACTCGGAAGTGTGTATGGAAAATACCGTCATTCTTCAAAATATGTGTTTTATATTCGTTTGTGAATTAATTATAAAATATTATTCAATAAATTACTGTATTTTTTGACTTCGAACAACCAAATGATAAACATTTTGTACATAAATAAATTTCGATTATAATCATGAATCATGATCATGTGTGTTACGATCGAGTTTCATGTTTTCAACCAAGCTACTGTGGCAACGGAAATACTTTGCGGCTAATAAGCATGGGAACTAACAAATTCAATTTGGACGTTAAATTTACGAATTCAGGGCAATCGAAAACGAGGAAGGAATCATACATTCATTATTGTTCATCATCATGATTTGATATTGTAATGACATAATAAACGAGCTTCTACGTTGAAGAGATGTTTCGACTGCGATAGCAAAAGAACCAAAGAGACAGATACAGTTGGTTTTTGTGCTAGGCGCTTCCATAAAAGATGTGAACCATTTTAATGCTTGAAAAGATATAACGTTACGCTGCCATTCTGTCCTATATATTTTGAAGTGTTGTACACATACGCTCGTGCGCAATGCACACTTCTTTGTTGCTCGGCGTTTTTTTCACTTCTTTCTTCTATTTTTTTTATTCAATTTCGTTAATTTAACTTCAAAACAAGTTAATACATGATACGCACATATTTCATTTTCCTGTATTTTTTTTCTCTCTTTCCATCAGAAAGCTCTAGCTATATTAAGTTAATGCTTTAGTAAGCACAATAATGATATAGATACCTTCCTCTACCTGTTTCAATCTGGCTGTTGTTAGCTGGCGGGTAACAATTCGTAAAACGTCAAAATAAAATGTGTAACTTGATGTGTCTGTGTGTTTCTTATGTATAGACACTGCTGACCGCCGCCACACCGCCACCGCTACTACCGTTGTTGCTCGATTTATTGGTCGAACTAGCTGCAGCGCTAATAAACATTTCAATTAACATTTTTTTGCTGGCTTAACTCGCAAGCACCGCTGCTGGAGTTATAGCATTTAATGTTGGAATGAAGTAAGAAGAAATAAAATATATTGTGTGTATGATTAGTAAGCTGCAACATATTGACCACAACACGATACACACGCATACATTTGATGCAATGCTTGGACACTGCCATTACATTGTATACATATATATATATTCATATTTAAGTGCGCGCTAAAACATTTGTGCAGCAAAAATGCAGCGGAAAATGAGAGTTGTAAACAAAAGTGACTAATCCGATTTTGCAATGTTACCGTTTTTTTCTCGCTTGAATTTGTTTCGATGTTTTCTCACTTCGGCAAAATGCACATGGCAAATATCCATCGACACACATGACTGTCGTACACACACACACACACCAAACCCAGCTCTTTGACTTTTATTATGAGCTAAAGCTCAATATTCAAGCCATATCAATATTCGAATAATTGCTAATTAGTTTTGTTGCCACCATATTTAATTTTGTGTTCTCTCGCGAGATAAATTCATTATGATAATACGTTGTAACCATAATATGTGTGCCCCCATAGAGCGTAATGAAAAAAAAAGTCAATGCAAAAAAAATCATTACAATTTTATCAAATCTATATCTCTTTTGGGTGGTTTTTTTCTCCTTCATTTTTAACAAGCATTATACACACAACACACGCTCAATACACAGGTGGATTAAATTACTTGCTTGATTAAAAATAATACCGTTAGCATTAAAATCAAACTTCAACCAAGATGAATAAATTATCCAAAACCGGAATGTAAACCGACGAAACACAAACAAAAATAGAGCACTTAAAACAACCAAAAATAAAATTGTGCACTGCCACATAATCTGAAACAAATGAGTGCACAGCGCACCTACTAAATGCCAACAAATCGGATAAGAAGAAGATGAAGAAAACGCAACCAGCGATTGAACCCTTGTGAAAAGTCGACGAATTTATGTTCAAAATATTTTGAAAACTCGTAGCTATCAAAACCGATAAAATCAAGATTAAATGCCATGGAAGAATATAATATAAGTCGTTTGTGTGGTAGAAACGATTGAATGTGCGCTGAGCACAAGTCTTTCGTTTCGTTATGCACAAAATTTGATACATATTTGTTGTTTTTGCTGTCAACGAACCTGATATAATAAAGTAGAGCGCGTTTTGTTGCTGTTCAGTTTTAGATTGCTTTTGCTTGCTTTGCAGCCACGAAACACAACCAGATTGTGATTCGATTAGACGAATACAAGAAACCAGTAATTATAAATTAATTATAATCCATGGCAAATCATACTTAAATGTTACATTGTGTGAATAAATATAATGTAACTTGCGCCCCTGAATGAAAAAAAAAATTCTTTTGAATTGTTGACGGTGTTAGTGGTATTGGTTCATCATAAGCATAAAATATGTTGTGGTTTTAAGTTTCATTTGCATGGTTTTTATTTTATGCGCGATCGATCTACATTGAACAGTCAAATGCTATTGTTTGGTGTGCTGTTTTGGTAATTTTGAAATATATTTTCAAAAGTCAAATGAAAATTGGTTCAATACCTTCAGTATTATTATCGGTGAAAAGTAATGATTGTGCCATTGTTTCAATGTGAATATAACATTGGAACGCGGTCTGATTGTTTTTTTTTCCCGCGCAACTCTCTTTGAACGAATGAGGACAAATAATTCATGAAAGAAGGAAATTTATGAAAATAATTATAATTAAATCGAGACGCCCAAACGACATTCCGAACAATTTGTGCACTCAATAAAGTCTAATGAATTTTATCGGTTGCCTGAAACTTCCGTCTCTTTCGGCGAATAGGAAGAGAAACACATTAATTTTTTTTTTTCAATTAAAACAAGGACAATAAATCCTGCAATTGTGAACATAAACCAAATCCAAATGACTACGACAAGAATATTTAATTTGAACGAGAGAAAAAATAAATAAATGTGCAATACCTCTCGAGAGAGCAAAAGCGATTCGAAGAGTAGCTAGCGACTACGGTCGGGTATAAAACAAGTTCTGAATCGTTAAGTGTTGTATGTGCTTTGCACGGGTAATGCATGCGTTACTTCAATCGTTTTAGTTGTAAGATGTGAATTTCGCTTCACAAATCAAATTCAACACATGACGATAATGCATGCGAAATGGTGTAAAACAGAGAAAGAAAAAGTGGTAAAAAGCAATGTTGAACACATTGGTCGAGTAAAAGACAAACTGAGCACTGACGCTCCGCTGTATTTAAAGGCATTGCGTTCGTTTCTGAAGACTTGGCATGTCAGCATAGGTGCACGCGTTTGTACACCGACAACAAACGGATCACTATAAAAACATACAAGAATCGATCGAGCGCACACGGCAGGCATGTGTATGTCATAAACACCATATGCGGCGTACGGTTCGTTCGATCGTACGCTGTTGTTTGGATGAATGTTGTTGATGATGATGAAAATGCGATTTTATTCGGTCACTCAGTCTAGAGGTACACGCTAACAGTAACGTTAGTGTTTTTTGTTTGTTTGGTGGCATAATTCACGCGCGATCCATACCTCAAGCAACACAAATTTTTGTTCTGTTTTCATTTCGTTGAAGTTTTTATTTTTATTTTTCTTCGCATTTTATATTTGTTCGTTTGTTCTAAACATTCCATTTTTTTAAAATATTTTATTGGAAATTTTATCGTGAAGAATTTTTTTTTTTGTTATTGAAATCTTAAATAATTCAACGGAAAAAATACGCCGGACCATTGAAATTGAACCTGAAAATTAACTTGAATTTGAACAAAAAAAAAGACACGCTGAAACAAGTAATATATAAAAACAGTGTGCCTGAAAGGTGTACGTCTATGGAATAAATAGCACGAATTAAAAGCAAAAAAAAACATTTTTTTGTGGAAAGAACAAGTTGGTAAATTCAATTGAATACCAACGTGATTGTACACAAGCAACAAATTCAACAGCATTACATGGCACAGTAGTCCATCATAGACGCGATCACAAAAGCGCGGAAAACGTGTATTGAAAACTTGATCTATCTGAAGAGTTGAACGAGTCGTTCCGATATAGGTCATCGCTGTGCTAACCCATTTTCATCGTCGCACTGCCTATTCTGTAACGTTGTAACGTGGTGTGTTTATGCGCGCGCTCTCGAGTTTAGTAAATCCATTCTAGCTTCGTTGGTTTTTTTTTTCATTGGACACATCAGCTGCGTTCTTTTTCTAGTTGCGACCCAAAGAAATCTTCTCAACGATTTTGACCACGACGGCATTGTATAAAGCAAACAACATATTTTCATCTTAAATTGCAATCGATTTATCTGTTGGTTGTTCGGAGCTTTTTTTTTCCATCGTTGCATGTAATTGAAGAATTGCCGACGCCTTGCGAATAAACAGCGAATATATATATTTTTAAAAAGGTTTATGATTATATTTTATTGTGTGCGTGTATATTGTGCAAAACAACAGCAACAACAAAATTGAACATTAAATATATGCAATTCAATGTGAAAATAAATAGTGATTTTCGCAGAAATTGATAATAAACCATAAACAGAAATTGCAATTTCATTGTTATGCTCAGATGGTGCAAGTTCATCGTCAGCTAACTGTGTTTGTGTCTGTGCATGTGTCTAAGCGAAAAAAAAGGTAAACGCCGACCATTAAATGAACGAAAGAAAGAAGAGAAAAAAAAACTTTAATTGAATAAATGCGAATTTCGATGGTGTGACTCTTAAGCACGCATAAAAATCGATGACAAATTACAGCGGTGACTTTTTTTCTACACATGTTGAAAACAAGCTGCGCAAAGAAGAATTGCTGACCTTTTCAGTAATAAAAGCCACCAACATAAACCCACATACTGTAAAAGATCAACATCCACTTGAGATTACCGCCGTCTTAATGATCATCATTATTATTGATAATAAAGAGACATTTTGAGAATTTTTTTTTTCTCTTCACATTTTCGTCTGCATAGTGAGTCACTATTTTTAAACCAGTGTCATTTGGGTGATTATTTCTGATAAACAAAAAAAAGACAAAGTCATAAAATCCGCAAGGAAATTATCAGCGCCGCCACCATCGTTGCTACTATATGTGCGTTATTTTTTTTGTTGACCAATTTCCAATTTGCACTTGAGCATAATCACACGAAATTACACTTCGACCGTTGTGAAGAAAAACACTGAATAACTGTGTGCAGTGTGTTTCATTAGACATTTTATTTAATTAAAATTGAGCGAGAAAAAAAAAAGAAACAATAACTGAAAGTGACAGAGAAAATATCGGTGGAAGAAGAAAAAAGAGACACTTATGTTTACTTGTGAATTGTGAGTCCGCCCATGCACCTAGCGTAGAAAAAAAAATTCGCGACTTTTTTGCCAATTTGAACAAATGACGTCAAGCGACAAAAAAGCAAGTAATTCAATCTAGTAGTGAGAGCGACCGAAAAGTAGTAAAAACAGAGAGACAGTATAATTTTGTTTTGTGACTGTGTGGTATTGATTGAAGTCGAGAAATTTTTTTTTATCCACCATTTTTCGAGTAGGACGAGTAATTAGGATTTTTTTTTAAATACTCCAAAATGTGTAAGAGACAAATTTAGAAATCGTCAATTGAATTTCTACATGTAAAAATCAAAGCAGTGTAACAATTAGTGTGCAAATTCGTTTTCTGTTTGTTTCAAGAAATTTTGCAATCAATAAACAAAAATTGTCGTCATCACAACCGGATGCACAGCACAACCAAGTGAATTTTAAGTTTTGTCGTTTCTTTTCTGCATTATTATCATCGTCGACGGTAAATAAAAATCAACGCTTATCACAAATTGACGAATGGAAAATCAGCCCTCAACAGACAATAGCAACTGCAAAACATTCACAAATAATTTAACAACGCGTTCCAATCTGTGCATATAATCACCATTTGCTGCAGAGCAATAAAACTACAAAAATTATCGGATTTTCTGTTTCAGTTGCGAATAAAACAGAAAAAAAGCAGCGGTTTTTTGGTTGGTGTGCACACACTTGATAAAAAAACGGAATTAAGCTAAGTGTTTTGGTGCTCTACACGCCTCCGAACCCATATCGACGAATGCGCAGAACAGAAAAAGCAAAGGCAAATTAATTTTTTTCCGCACATTAAAATCGTATGCACAAACACTTTTGCTCACATGCACATCGCGCCGAAACGGTACTCAGTTTGACTAAACGAATTTGTTTGGAAAATTAACGCCGAAAAAGAAGAATAAGCCAGACAAAAAAAAACCGAATTTTTGAACAGCCAACAAAGTAATGCAGTCTCATTCATTCAACAAACTCGTACAAAAATCCAATTCTGTATCTTAATTAATTATGTGAAAGCGTTACAAAGAGAAAGACAGAGAAAGATAGAAAAACCTTAAAAAAAAACTACAATACAATAAAATAAAGAAGAAGGAGAAGCAACAACGAAACTCACGCTCAAGAATATCGCTGCATATAATTATCATTATAATAATCAAGCGAGTGTGAATTATAGCATTGAAAAACGCAAGCGCGCCCCAGCTAGGTGAAAAAGAAACAAGAATTTCTACTGACTGCCTGAATAGATTTGACTTGTTGCGAGCAACAAACGTCCAATTTTCGCTATAATTTCACTAAAAATACGAAGTAAAATTGATTAGCATATCTTCGCCGAACACTGTGAAGTAATCAACAAAGTGAAAAAAAGACAACGCAGAGAGAAAAAAGAGATGAAATCAGCACCGTTTTGATTTTATTATGCATGCGCATTGAGAAAATCAACCGCATCGTAACCAAGTCGCCATAAAATCACCAACACACAAAAACTCCTTGCGATCACAAAAAAGAGGCAAACGCATATACTACCGAAAAAAAACCCGAATTTATTTTTATACTGCATTCAAATCACTCAGGCCTTAGCAACTCGTGTACACATCGTTTATAAAATATTATCACGAGAAATCATTTTCATAGACAATACAAACATTTTTTTTGCATATACATTGGATCGAACGAAATCGAAAAGCAAACGACGAACAAAAGAAAATACACCGAGCTCAATAAAGAGATAGACAGTGAAATAGAAAAAAAGTCCAAGTTCAAAGTGTAGTTTATCTGATATGATCAATACGTTGCACACGTTCATTTGAAATGACATTTAACCATTGAACGTACGCCCATAAATGACAATGACAATTTGCCGATTCAGCACAACCAATTTCATTCATTGGTAAGTCACCGGATTTTTCGGTCAATTTTTCATTCTCTTGTCTTTCTCTTGAAAATACACACTTATATTGTTTAATTCCAATATTTTATTATCTGTTTTCGTTGAACTCTATTACCATAAGATAAAAGATCATAAATTGATGACGATTTTACATTATTTTGATGAAAATAAAAATTCAAAAGAAACCAAAAAATTCCATCGTCATGAATAAAACATGCTTTCAAGCGATGCATTCCATGTCCATTTCGGTTTTTTTTTATCGAAGAGATTAATTTGATTAACGGTAGATTTTAGTTACGTTCTTGTATCGTTCGTCGACGACGTTGCAGATCTCATCATTTGATTAATCGTTTGCCATTAGATCTAATTTAATGGAGGGCAGCTCCCATTTATTTCACTAATTTTTTTTAAATGCCAATTCTCTTATCTGAAGACTTGAGCGTTTGTATGGTTGACCGAAATGATTTGAAAAAGAAGAAGAAGAAAAAAGACAACAGACCTCCTTTGATTCAACACAAATTAGATGCACAAAACTAGAAATGAAACCGTTAAATTCCAAAACATTTGTCACTTCAAAGCATGCGTACAAGTGAATTTCGAAAAAACACCAAACGAAGTTCTATCGAGGAAAAAAAATAAATAAATAATTTATAATAATTTCCGAACGAATAAAACGAAATCAAATAAAAAGAACTCGAAAAAAAGCCACACAAAAATACTTACAACTTTTTTCTTCGTTCAGTTCTTCTATCAATCAACTTGGCTGTATTATTAAACAATTATATTTGCTGGTATGTTGCAATCGGCTTGCACACTTGAGCATAATTTTTTCTCTCCGTCTCTCTCTGACTGCATGGTTTCATTTTTTGTTCTTCGGATCGGTTGGCCGATGCAAAACAAATGCGTTTTTTCTTTCATTATTATTATATTTGTACAGCGAATGAAAAAAAAACAAAACCATTTGGCTTATGCGCTTCGCCGCCACTCATTACTGTTATTATATATTTTCGCATGAAGAGTTCGCTGCATGTAAGTGTGTGTGTGTGTGTTATCGGTTTCGATGCCGTACACCGAAACCAAACCAACATACATTGCAATACAAAAACATAAGCAAACACATACATGTCTACATAAAACTAATTACGAATAATTGTAATTATCTATTGCGAATCGATTGCGGGGCCAGCTGTTTGGAGACTTTGACTTGATCGTTGTTGGTTTTTGTGTGCGTGTAAATGTGTTTTTCGTTTTCATGGTGTGTTTATGGTCAGTTTGAACCCGGTTCGGTTGAATGCAATAACGAAATAAAACTCCACACAAAAAATGCATCAATTTATTGTTGTTATATCGTAATTGGCATTGTTATTTGGCATGTGTGGCAAATTCCGAAATTATTTTCAGTTTTCTTAATGGATTTTCGTTTTTTATTTTATTTTATCGAATTCTGTGTTCATTTTCGACGCCAAATTAGCTCTCGTCCGCAATCCATTGAGAATAATTTATTGTTTTCTATATTGGTGTATAAAAACAAGGTGTTCAAGTTGCCAAAAAAAGTTAATAATTTGATGTGGTGTTAGAATGCAAGTGTAGCCGATTTTCGCACCATACCAAATTCAGTCAATTCTATGCTCTCTTCTATAACATTGATGAGATTGCAATAATCAAGCCATCAATCATCGTGAGTCATTTACATTGGAATTCATCTTAGGTCAGTGTGCAACCACATGTAAGACGATGACGACAAGGTAAAATAAAAACAAGAAATGTCTGAATATACTCCGCGAGCAATATGTTTCCTTTTTTTTCGCTGTGCATAAACGGTGGAAAAATTGGTGGTGAATTGGATTTTAAGCAGTAAATAAAACTAAACGATAATTGTGAATTGACTGTCTTTGGAGTGTAACGTAACTTCCATTTAATCATAATTTATTTATAATGACTTTTATGACAATATCGACAAACCGTCATTTTCCCGGTGCAACAGCAACGACAACAAATCATCGACCACAAGATTCAACGACTTTAACATCAATGAATTGAATGGTATGCATCGTTTTTTTATATTTTACGTTCATTGTACTCGGAATCCATGCTCCCCAACATGTACATATATATTCATCGCAATCTTTTGCCATGTACTTTATTAGTTTGCTTGCTTATTGTATTGTTGTTCCGTCTTCGTTGTTCATGCGAACGCTCAGGTAATGTTTCGATTTCATTGTTGATTGCATTTTGTGTCGTGCTTTTTTTTCGGTTTAATCGATTATAAATGACGATTGCGTATTCGCGTCACTCCTCTTGCATAAAAAAAAACATCATTATTCTAACTTAACACTGAGCAGTTTTGTCGTTTGACTGCAGCTTAAGTGTTTTAAGAGCATCACAGACTTTGAATTAGCGACGACATTTTGCGCCAATAGAGAGACAGACACAAAGAGATGATGATGAAGATGATGAAAAAAAAACACATGTTTTTGTGGTTTTAAGTGCACTGGCATTTCAATAATAGCCTAGTGTATGCTCGTTGATATTCTTTTCTCGTTTGCTGTGACGAGAGAGCAAAACATTAAGCAACGCTGAAAAATGCTATGCGCTGCACTAATTGACAGTTCGTCGTTTATTATGAACGATTGAAATCTTTTGTACAATCCGTCGGCAATGTGCAGCTAATCGATTCGTTTACGGCAAATTCATTCGAGTACATATTTTAAACGAAAAACAAAATCAATCAGTGTAACACCAAGACTCTTCACAATGTTACCCTCGATTAGATCGATTTTTGAGCGAGAAAAAAATAACATTAATTTTCTGTGAAAAATTTAATCGCACTTTTTCAATTGGATCACGATCCGATGATGACAAAATACGTGTCGCATGCTTCTTAACATTTTATAGCCGCACACTGCAATTGCACAACGTACATCATTAATCGTGTTTTTTTTCTGGCGTTGTGCTGTGCTAGAAAGAAAGAAAAAAGACACACCATACATAGCATTGATTGACATCACACGAAAGAGCAAAAATGGATCAAACAGCCAGTCAAGATTTGAATTGAACAACAACGAGAGAGAGAGAGAGAGCGCTAGAGAAGAGTGAAACAAAAAACAAAACCAGAACTTAGAAAATGTGAAAAGAAAAAGTGAATTTTATCACAGCAAATTAAGTTATCATTCATTGCAATATTCAGCTGTAATTCTGGCATCTGACAAACAACACGGCTAATATATTTTCTATGTTTATAGCCGTGGCTTTCGCAGCACAGCAATTTCTTTATCATTATTCTTCTCCATTGAAATTGCCACAGCTGTGTAGTTGTATCGATGTGCGAATTGAAGAAAAGAAGCAAACGCAATAATAAAAAAAACAAACAAACAAATTCAGCACATTGCGCGCAAATTTTTGTGAAAAATAAGTTATTAAAGTGTAAGCATAATTTCTTTTTTTTTCGTTGTTGCTAATAGCAACTTGCTATTGTTGTTTTCTCCACTTAACTCTTTTCACGTTTTTGTTTTGTTTTTATGATTGCGCGCGCATATGTAACGTTTGTTATTTCTTTAGAAAATTTTTATTTCATTTTCAGTTGCATCAAAAACCGCGCAAAGACACAAATAACATCGACACACATACTCGATTCGGGGCGGTGAATGAGAGAGAAAGAGACGACGCAAAAAAAACGAAGAATAATTTTTAATTTTATTGTTGTTAGTTTGACGTTAATGAATTACTTAAAAAAAATTGCATGAATAGTTAAATGAGTTGATTTTTGTTTTGTTCGGTTCGTTTGGGATTTCGCGTTATTATGTCTCTATCTATCTGGATGGTGGTGTATTATTGCTGTGTTCACTCTTCAAATGGAATCGTGCAGCTCGGTGTTCATTGCTTTACTGCTCATATGCTTTGCGCTAATGGATTTTATGATCGCGCGAGAAAAGAAAAATTATGCTCTTTGCATGAGCATACGAATGGTATCTGGTTGTCGTTGTCGTGTCTTATTTCGCTGCAAATTCTATTTCTCGTTGTCTTTTTTCTCCACACAAATTTGTTTGCGACCATGCATGTGTGTGTGATCGCGCTCAAGCTCATTCGCGCTCGTTTGTCGTTACTTGCATTTATATGTGCAAATTAATCGTGTACACTTAAAATGAATAATCACCTGAAAATTAAAGTAATGAACGGAGGGTTTTTTTTCATTCCTTTCTTCTCTTTGTTGTAATTATTATTTGTGTGCATTAGATTTTGTGCTGAGGAGTAAATGTCTCTTAATAATTTTTTTTGTTGTTTCTGTGATTTTCGTTGTTTTACTCAATGCAAAGCACGCTGTTGGCATTCGATTGAGAGTCTTTTGTTTGCAAAGCAATAATGAATCGAATGGAGAACATCGAGTTATGCCGTATGGAATAGTATGGTAAACAAAAGGAATCCAGCAAAAGAATTGACAATAAATGAGGTGCGGTGGCGGGCATGCCGAAACAACAAAAATTCGCCTTAAATTTATTCCGCACATTGGACGGCACATTGACATTTTCGTGGCGAAAAAAATCACACGGTCAAAAATTGCGCTATGGTTTTGTTCAACGTATTTTGTTTCATTCGATTTGATTTTCATCCGTTTCGCAAAGAAAATAAAATAAAAAAAAAACTAACTTACAACAAAACGGCACACAGATATACCTCCTAATAGATCATAAATCAAATGACACAAAAACTAATTCAGTGTGTCGGTATTTCGCGTTTTGGATGCTGATTTGCACACACGCGAAGAGTAAAAATAACGACACATTTTATAAGAGATCGCATTTGCTTAGAAAATGCCATATCGTTACCACTGTCAATAGCGTTTAAAAAAATTGAAGAAAAAAAACACTTTCGAAGCAATCTGAACTGAAATTGAGTACGGTACAAAATTGAATACGAAGCCATTAGCGAGTTTCGACACACTCACAAATTGGATTTTTTTTCCTCTCTTCTATTTCGTGTGCAACAGTGTTGTAGTTGTTGTT